GCTGAGAGAGGCTGGACTGAGGGCATGTTAATTAATTGATTATGGTTAATTGAACATGCATGGAAAACATTGTTTAAACCCTTTACAATGAAGATCTGTAAAGTTATTTGGATTTTTACAACATTATTGTTGAAATACACAGTCCTGAAAAAGGGACGTTTCTTTTTTTGCTGAGTATATATATATATCCCTATACTAATTCTACTACAGGGTTCCTGAGGTCCAAAGTCTGGACAAATCTGAAATAAATACATTAACAAAACATGAAAATATACTTACCCGGGAATAAAACCATGATGATGGGTAACAATAATAAAGTTAAAAATGTTCCAAGTTGTCCTTCCAAAGTTCCAAGTTCAGAATAATATTTTGCCAGAAGAACAGTGACAGCAACTAGAATAATGTAAGAATAGAGTCAGTCACCATGAAATTCATGTCAGACAGAGTACAAACAGATGTGTTCACTGGTCCTGCACAGGCCTGTCACCTGGGGGTTCTGGGTTTGAATTCCTTATTGAACATTGTTGTATGAAAAGCACATCCCAGAGTGTTTGAGTTGGACATTTGATCATAATCCCGAAATGTACATATAATTGTAAAAAAAAAAAATTACCATCAATGTTGTCCATTTCTGAAATCCCAACAGCCAAAACAAACAAAAGTAACATATACATTTTAAATTAACATATCCATAACCACTTCTCATGTACAGTTCCATGGTGAGACTATCCCTAAAACACCCTGGTTGGGTGCCAGTCCATCACAGGTGCTGCTGCTGCACAGATCTCTCACCTAGGGGTTCTGGCTTTGAATCCCTAATTGATTGTTGTGGTATGAAAGGTACATCTCAGAATGTTCACTTACACACAATGGGCCATATTTAGACCCCATTTTACCTAAATGCATGTTTTTGTGTGTGTGTGTGTGTTGGGGGGGGGGGGGGGGGGGGGGGGGGGGGGGGGGGGGGTCCATGAAACAGGTCCATGACAGGAGTGCAATGACAGGTAGCCTATAGCGTTAAGTGAAAGAAAAGTTCAGAAACATATTATGTTCCACCAACAGCTAATATGCTGATTACTGCACGGTATCATTCATATACAAAATCACGCTTTATCCTGTAAGAAATGTGGCTGGGATGAGACATAGATCACACACCTAGGCTAGTCTAATACACAGCTAGATTATCGTGGTTAAACAAAGAAGGCTGTGTAAACGCTGTATCAGAGACAGAAAAAGTGGGACAGTTACATCAAGAGAGGCCAAATTCAAGTGGAAGTAGGAAGCTCTGCCAAAGCACTCTTTGGAGGCAAACAAGGAAGCTGGCTTTGGAAATACCAATGGCTGGGATATAAGATGTCAGCAGATTCAGCCTTTCCTTTCCATGCGGAGTAATTGGGTGGATTCAGAGATGTAAGGCAGAACAAGGGGCAGGAAAAGGCTTTGCAAGGCGCAGTGCTCCCCAAATGCACCATGGTAACTGCAACAAGTGGGAGGAACATGAGCCACCCCTTTATTTAAGAGTAAATGTCACAACAGAGAGACAAACAGATTGGACAAAAGTAAAAGAAAGAGAAAACCGATATAAAGCTGTCCTTCGTTTAACAGATATAACTTGTGCACTGGAATATGTCTTTAGGCTCCTTCAGTGATGAGTTATGTGTCTGTGGGTAACTTCACACCTCCTCACACGGCTACTTATTGAAAGTGTCCGTAACCACAACTACAACAAACATTCTTCCTCTCCTTCTGCCTCCTACTAGAAACACCCAATCGATTTCATCACACACGTGCAGGTGACATGCACTGGTGCACAAAATGTACACTGGACACCCTTGAGGATGAAATTTACATCACTCACACTGTGTGCAAACTATAAGCTTACAGTTAAGTATGAATTGGTCCTGATGCACACAGGATCAGCTCTCTGTAGTATGTTGACCACAGCAAGGCCTGAAGAGTGTTTTCTTGATTTAGTCCATGTAAAGGACACACCTGGAGCTGGTCTTGCCAAATGTCTTACCCAGATAATATAAACTTTGGTCTGTATACCAACAAAATAAGAGGCAGGGCTACACTGGCTGTGCTGCACTGTCAGCCATTTACAGAGGTGTGCAAGCTGTCATACAGGAGAACAATGAGAAGGCCTGTTTAGTGCTTTGCTTTGCCCAGAGACTGACCCTTGATGTTGTGGACATGAGCTTCAGCTTCATGTAATTCTTTTGGTGTTTCTACCTTCATGAGAGGCTCTGTGAAGCAACATGGCCTTTTTATTGAGGTTCAAGAAGTAGTGAGAGAATCAGGGGCAGGGAAATACAAAACTCTGCATGTTCTTAGTGTGACAAGATGGTCTTCCAGGATTAGTAATTGTAATGTTCTTCTGTCCATCGTTCCTGTTGTGGTGACTGTATGTGGGATCACGAAAGAAATAGTTTTGATTGTGACTCCTTAAGTACAGCATTAGCCCTAAGCAAGGACACTGATTGAGTTTTGGGTGCAGCTGGTGGCTTTGTACAGAATCTTCACAGTGACTGGTGTCCTATCAAACTATCTCCAAAGAGAAGATATGGACATGGGCACAGCTGTAGAACTGGTGTGTGACTGCAGATTGGAGCTATCTCAGCTGTGGACTGAGGAGGTGTTTGAGGAAATAAGGAAGGAAACAGACACTATAACCTGAAAGATCAATGTTCAGTAGGAGGTGAAGAGGAGTAGGAAGGTATTAAGGAAACAAGATGAAATCAAGCAGATCAGAGCAACTTACTACTAAAGATGAGTTAGGAGTTAATTTTTTCCTTGCAGTAATACAGGGCATTAGAGACATGTTCAGTCATGACACTTTGCAGCTTCTGACTCCTGTACATACCTCAGAAGGGAGAAGTAGAAGAGTACAAGGTGAGTTAAAAGTTAAGTTTTTCTGTGGAGTATTTCACATCAGTATTTAGGACATTACAGACACATTCAGTCATGGCACTTTGCAGCTTCTGAGATGGACAGACTGCTTCACAAACCCCAGAAGGGAGAAACTCCCCCATCTTCTTCAGAAGTGCAAGTATTACAGGAGGGTGTGTCCACCATCCAAGCAGGGACAGAGTACAAGTTGTTCATACATAAATAGCAATGGGAACAAAGTCCTTCAACTTCCTTACTGGGCCTGATACATTTCTTGTGGCAAATAACCTTCTGCAAGCCAACCCTGACTTAGGCTCACTCTACCAGCCTATTATCACTCTGCCGGCCTATTATCACTCTACCGGCCTATTATCACTTTGCCGGCCTATTATCACTTTGCCAGCCTATTATCACTCTACTGGCCTATTATCACTCTACCAGCCTATTATCACTCTGCCAGCCTATTATCACTCTACCGGCCTATTATCACTCTACCAGCCTATTATCACTCTGCCAGTCTATTATCACTCTACCGGCCTATTATCACTCTGCCAGTCACCTCCTGTAGCAATGAGAGGCCATTTTCAGAATGAAAATGTGTCAAGAACAGACTGAGGACAAACATGAATCCTAGTAGGATGGCTGAACTGATGTAAACAGAAACTGAGGCAGAGAGGACACAGCCAGCTGGCCTGGGAAAGTGAGGGATGCATTTTGGAGGCTTAATAACTGCTTTTAAGGTCAGTAGCCTTTAGTGACAGTTAGTGGCGTAGTTATACAGTACATGTTTGTTTGAGAAAATAAACAGATAAAAACCAAAATATAACAAAAATAAAACAGGGACAGAACAATAACATATTAAAGTTTCACACCACAGATTTAATCAGGAGACTGGAGAAAATGTCTGAAGTCTGATGTGACTTATAACACTGTAACCTCAGCTGTTTAAAGATACAGATATACCATCAATCACCACAGTTACCAAAGCTGTGTGGTGTTAGATTCTGTCTAGTTGGCACAAACAGGCTGACTTTACAGAGGAACCAGTTTGGGATGTATGATTATATTTTGGGAAGTGTTATGCAATGATTATGGAATTCAATCTGACTGCCCCAGATCAGTCTGCAAGTGCATTTCAAGTTTTGGCAATTATGCATGTTACATATGAAGCTGTGAACCCTCAAAGAAATAAGGTACATGATGCTCCCGCTTGGAGGGAACCAGTGAAAACATGGGGAGAACATGCAAACAGCACATATGTGAATTTATAAAGAGACTTACTTATGGATGAAACCATCATGACCAGGAATATAATTCCAGTTATTCCTGCCAGGTTGGCACATAACTTAATGCTGTTTTCTCTCTCTTGGAAATATTTTGTCAAAACAACAATACGGACGACTGAAGGGAGGCAAAGTATAGAGTCATTTCAGGACAGACAGAAAGTATACAAACAAACATAACTTGTAAACTTAAATGGGGTAACACAGGATGGTAACAAAGGGTGCTTGGGGGGGCAGGGGTGCACTGTAAAAAAAAAATGTTCCGCCAACTCAAAAATTCAAGGCAACATGCTGCAATACATTTTTGAGTTAAGTCAACTCAGTTACAAAAGTTCAACAAACCTATAGACATAGGTTCAGCTAACTTTGACTTAAGAGTTAAGGCAACACTAGTACAAGTTAGATTAACCTAGGTACAAAGTTTCAGTAAACTTAGATTGTTAAATTGTCAACACTGTTTTGCAAGTTCGATTAACATAGGTACAGAGGTTTAGTCAACTTTGTTTGAGGAGTCAAATAAAATTTAAATAAACCTGCCTTGTTTAGGTGACATTTTAAGAGTTAATGTTTTCATTAACTTTTTTAAATAGCAAGATTCAACTGTAATATTTCAAGTTGCCTTGTTTAGAGTACTAAAAAACATATTACCATTCGCAGCATGTTGCCTTGAATTTTTGAGTTGGCTGAACATTTTTTTTTTACAGTGTGCTTTAACGCACGGGCCTCTGCTAAAATAGGAGCTGCCCCCCACGACAAATACATCTTTGAAGAATATAGTAGTTAATGTGTCTCTGCTTGGGTGAGGAAATATATCATACATTGTGTAATACATTAATGTGCATCCACCCTTCACAGGGTCACAGGGGGCCTGCAGCCTATTCCAAGCAGCACAGGGCAGAGGTACAGCTTGGATGGGAGGCCATACACACACAGTCACATGCTATGGGCAACTTACACCAATTAACCTGAGAGGGAGACTTTGGGCTGCTGGAGGAAACTGGAGTAGCTGGTGGAAACATGCAGACTGCACACAGACACAGAGTATGGGGACTCAAACCCACATGACATGGGGAGCACATGCAAACTGCCCACAGACACAGAGGAGGGGGGACTCAAACCCACATGACATGGGGAGCACATGCAAACTGCCAACAGACACAGAGGAGGGGGGACTCAAACCCACATGATATGGGGAGCACATGCAGACTGCACACAGACACAGAGGAGGGGGACTCAAACCCACATGACATGGGGAGCACATGCAAATTACACACAGACACAGAGGAGGGGGACTCAAACCCACATGACATGGGGAGCACATGCAAACTGTACACAGCCACAGAGGAGGGGGACTCAAACCCACATGACAGGGGGAGCACATGCAGACTGCACACAGACATCGAGGAGGGGGACTGAAACCCACATGACATGGGGAGCACAAGCAGACTGCACACAGACATCGAGGAGGGGGACTCAAACCCACATGACATGGGGAGCACAAGCAGACTGCACACAGACATCGAGGAGGGGGACTCAAACCCACATGACAGGGGGAGCACATGCGGAGTGCACACAGACAGAGGGGGGACTCAAACCCAAATGACGTAGGGAGTACATGCAAACTGCACAAATTGAGGAGGAAGACTCAAACCAGAGATGTTCACAAGTCACGAAATTAGAGTCTGAGTCAAGTCTCCATCCTGGTTCCAATTTGACATTACTGTTTATCAAAAATTTAACTGCATATTTAGTAACTGATGTGAATAAATGGGAATCACCACTTGAACAGTTCAAAACTGCATGTCTCATAGTTCTTTAGGCGTATATACATTTTCAAAGTAATCGCTATTTCCAAACAAACAACAACAACTGGGTATGTTGGTATACCTATCTAAATGGGGACCGTCCATTCATTTCTATGGGGAAAACCCTTAACCTCTACCCATCCCTAACCTTAATCATAAGTAACCAACCCAAATACAAGACTTTTGGCATTTTTACTTTTTGATTCCATTCACAGATTTTCATAAAACTGAGGTTATCCAAATGGGGACCTTGGGATATCCCAAAAAGTAGGGAAATTTCAGGTTTTACTATACTTTTGAAACAATTTGGTCCTCAAGTGTGATCTATGCAAACCCACACACCCACACACACACACACACAGGTTTATAATTATATGTATGTGGGGACTCTATTTATTTCAATGGGGAAAATTCTAATCACACATTTGGCATTTTTAGTTTTTTGATTGCATTCACAGATTTTTGTGGGGACCTGAAAAATGGTCCAGACAATGTCAAAATAGCAGAATTTTATTACATTGTGGGGGACCAAGACCTTGATTGTCGTGCTGCTAAAATAAATGCATGTTAAAGTCAATTTTCATTTTCACACATTCTAAAGCAAAAATTCCAATTAATGAAATTGATTTGTCTATCAGCTTATGTGTGCACAATTAAATAAATGATTATGCAAAGTAACACCACAAACTCAATATTAAAAACGTAATAAAATAATGTGTGCAGTCGCTCTGCTATTTTAGTTATGTGAGGGCGGTCAGTGATACTACTGTTTAATCGAATTGTTTGCTGCCGTTATAATTTTCCCTTATTAAAAACCATATAATTTGAATGCATGATGGAAATGTGAATAATTTAAGACATAACACTGTAACAAGCTGTACACGGGGCACAATGAAAAGGTGCAGACACTTTTTAAGTTGTAAGAAAACACAGCTTGACTTGGAAGGGTATGTCAGACATACCTGGAACATACCTGCTAAGGTATCAGATTTATGACAATCTGTGCCGATCCGTGTCACTGTATAATAATACAAATTATGTTAAATATAATTTACAACACAGGTTAAGCAAAGCCTATTTGAAAGCGGTGCCATCTAATGTAAAATAACACTTGCAATAACACTCGGAATATCCTGCGCTTCGTCAGATCGGGTCCACAATTTGAACTAGTAGCAAAGCAGAAAAAGCGCGTTAGAGATTGTTGATACCGCCTGGTGTCATGCTTCTCTGGCTCCAGTTTCTAAGCTCTGTGCACAGCTGCACATTGTGATGTGTTTAATGCCTTTATGGTTTGGGGAAAGATGTACACTCAATGCTTTACATGTATAGAATCTGTGTAGAGCCTTAAACACTTTTATTGTTCATGAGTCGCTATTAAAGAGTCGGAGTCAAGTCAGAGTCAAAAGATAATGAGTTGCAAATCTCTCACTCAAACCCACATGACATGAGGATCACATGCAAACTGCACACAGACAAAGAGAAGTGGGACGCAAACCAGCAGCCTGGAGGTGTCAGGCAGAAGTGCTGACCACTGAGCCACTGTGCTGCCCCATGGATACAGATTAACAGTGAACAAAACAGATATTACACAAATTAAATTTATGTAAATTCATAATATTTATGTGTGGGAATACAAAGATACCTCTATGCCTAATTCTGGTAGAATATTACTTTAATATTCCATTTATAAACATACTCACTTCGGAGTAAAACAAAAAAGATAAACATAAATATGATTCCACCAAAAATGCCTCGAAATATTGCTTTCTCAGATGGAGATGGGGAATTTTTTGCTAAAAATTCAACTGAAGAGCCTGAAATGAAATAAAAAATAGTCAGTCACCATGTAATTAATGTGAGACACAGGGAAACAAACAAATGCATTCAATGGTTCATTTGTCTATCAGATGCTTTTGTCTAAATTAACATGTAAGTAAGGATCAGAGAGCAGGATCAGCCTGCGGTTAAGTTCTAACCCATAGAGCCACACAGGCTAGGAAGCAGATTAATAAGGGTCACGAAAAGTTACTGAGGATGTTTGGCTGGGAGATATTATTCACCCTAAATCATGCTTCCAAACAGCTATAAAGCCACAAGCACAGGGGAACCAAATGAGCCAAACAGCCTGTATGATTCCATCCAGGTAAGTGGATAAGTGTGATCCCAATGAGCACATATGAAGGCAGAGTGATGGGGTGAAGTCAGGCCTTAAGTGAAATTGAAAATGAATGTATGAGGAGGGGCAGGATTAGGATATCCATCCGCACCATACATGCTATACGTTAGTGTATGAGGAGGGTAGGATTAGGATATCCATCCGCACCATACATGCTATACGTTAGTGTATGAGGAGGGTAGGATTAG